AGAGATTTTCACTGTTGGGCGCGTGCGCTCGCCAGACAGACAGAGAGAGACATAGAGACAGAAAGCGAGAAATCACCCCCCAGGGGGGACGGTCACGCCGCAATCCCTTCTCCTCCATTCTCCTCTCGGGATCTTGGGCACGCACGCACACGCGCCTGGCGTGAGTTTTAAGCCACCGGGTCCGGGACACGAACCGCGGTCGACTATGTGGGAATCCGGCGACATAGCCATTACACTAGCTGGTTCCCCCAAAGATGTTTTTATATTGATAATAATGAATTATCTGAAGCCCCGTTAGGACTTGAGAGCTTTGTGACAAACGACTAAGATGTGGTTTTCCAACCATCAACTGAAGGAGAGTGAGGCGGCGGCACTGGGGAGGGGACTGGTCTGCAGCCAACGAGTGCTTCCCGGGCAGCAACCCCTCATAGCCTCTCTGAGAAGGCTGCTGGCTTCACCTCGGCGAGTACCAATTAGTAGAGAGAGGTTTCTCATGAGAGGCCCCAAACTGTCTCCTTGTGCACCCTGGTTCTGTCAACTAAAGCTACAGGAAGATGCACACTAGCGCAGACATCGTCTAGCTAGAAGGGGTCTGGCGAGCCCTGTGGGACAGGAGGACAGCAGCCTGAACCTCATGCTCCTGGTGACTCAGTAGGAGGCCAAGAGTCTTTTGCGTAACTTCACTCTGGTACAGTCGGAGCCAGGACAGGAGTGCTGGAGAGTGTGTGTATAAGGGCAGGCCTTGAAGCGGGGAGTAAATCCCTTCACAAGGCCAGATGTTGCATGGTGAGTAAGGTGGCCTGATCCCACATGGACGACTGTGGGTGGCGTGGCTGGAGTCCTGGACCTAGCAGCTTAAAAAACATGCCTGGTGCCTGAGTGCATCCCTCAATCCGGAGAGAACGGAGGAGAAGGGGCTTGTGTGCCCACTCCCTGCCCCTCCGCTGGCTTTCTCACTTTGCTTCTCTCTCTCTCCTCTTGGCCAGTGTGTACCCCTATAGCCAAATGAAAAACAAAACCTCTTTGCAGAAAGGATAGAGAGAAAGGTTTTCTGGAGGAAATGGGATTTTAGTAAGTGGGAGAAAGGTGTTCTAGACTGGAGAAGTGAGGGGCGTGAGAGAAACACGAGCTTACGGGAAACTCTGGAGTGAGGCAGGAAGGGCGAAGCCACGGAGGGTCTATGGTACAACAGCCGAGGCCGGACATATGCATGAAGGCCAGCAGAGGGGACAGCAGGAGGGGAGGACAAGGAACCCTAAGAGTGAACCGACCCAACCTGGCAGTCAAGAAGACGCCAATGTTGGTGTCCCAGGCTCCAACAAAGAGCAAAGCCTTTAAAGGGGACAGGACGGGGTTAGGGATGCAGGAAGACAGCTTAGGGAGATGCCGGATGGTCACTCTGGAGGGGCTGCCTCTAGGGACCTTCCCTGTTTTATGAGCCCAGTTTTATAGTCCCTTCGTTCTCACAGCTGCCCTCTGGACATGCTCCAGTTGTCACTGAACTCTCCCTCCCGCGTCACACCTGGCCCCCTCAGGGTCCACAGGGTCTGCCAGCAGCAACCGCTCCCCCGTGGTGACTTCCTCTACCCACGGAGCCGCTGAAGCTCTCAGCCGTTCCCACACACCACTGCTTAGTCTCGTCCTCCACCTCTTGCTTCTCTTCTGCTGAATCATGAGCCCGACTTTCCAGTGTGAGCTGATCTTGTCATTGCTGTATCATCGTCGTCAGCTCAAGTCTTCTCAGCTGTCTAAATCCTACTTGCTATCCAGGTGGTCGTTACCAACATCCTTTTTATATGAAGACATCGATGCAAAAACTGCACAGGGTCATAGCGAAGGTAGATCCCGCAGCTCCTGCAGGGCCCAGCTCCTGCCGGCTGCTCATGCCACCTCTGACCCTCCGCAGCTGACCTGGGTGCTGCAGCATTGCCCCCACCATGGGCAGTGACCTGGGCCGCCGTGACGGAGTTGGTCTAAAGGAGAACAGGTTCCACCTCATACTAGAATGGCTTTCTACTGGCAGGGACTGCTGAGAGTTAGAACGGGCTCCCGGGGAATAAGTTTCCTGTCGCCCTAATTTTTAGGCAAAGGTTGGCCCCACCTTCCGACCTCACAATCCTCGACTCCATTCCACCCAAATGACATCCAGTCTTCGCAGGCCCCTACCACCACCCTACCCCTGGACCTCACTCCTGGGAGCCCCCTCCTTGCTCGCTCTATTAAAGCTGTCCCGACCTCCTTGAGCCCTGTCAGCAGGCTGGGGGGTGTGCCACCCTCAGCCCATGCCATGCCCCTCTCTGGGCAGACCCTCCCTGAGCAGCCGACTAGAAAGCATGACTGGAGCTGGCCGCTCTGGACCGGCTCTCCTCCACTTCTCTCCTCACACACCCTGCACCATTACACCTTACTGCTCTTACTATCCCACCAGAACAGAAACTGAGCAAGAGGAAAGGTTTACTTTACTTTCTTTCTTTTTATAAAGAGAGATTTTTTGCTATAGGGCGTGTGGCACTCACCCGAGAGAGACAGAAAGCGAGAAATCACCCCCCGGGGGGATGGGCACGCCACAATCCCTTCTCCTCCGTTCTCCTCTCGGGATCTTGGGCACGCACATGAGAGGGTTCTTTCCCTCTCTCCCTGGCAAACACACACGCCCTCTGCAATAATACTGATGATAAATTACTGAAGCGTGTGTAATTTTTCTAAGACTTTCTTTTTTTTTTTTTTTTTAGAGGTTTTTCACTATAGGGCATGTGCTCTTGCCAGACAGACAGAGAGACACAGAGACAGAAAGTGAGAAATCACCTCCCAGGGGGGATGGCCACACCGCAATCCCTTCTCCTCCATTCTCCTCTCAGGATCTTGGGCACGCACGCACACGCACCCGGCGTGGGTTTTAAACCACCGGGTCCGGGACGCAAACCGCGGTCGACTACGTGGGAGTCCAGTGACAAAGCCATTACGCTAACTGCTGGTTCCCATGTAAGACTTTCTTTTAAATAATTATTTATGTTAATTTTACTTATTATTATTTTTTTAATTGACCAGGGAGATATATATAGAGAGGGAAGGTGATAAAGCTAGCCACCAGGTGCAGGATTTGAACCATGGTCAGCCATGTGGGAGTCCAGCAACCCTAACCACTACTCCACTTGCCAGCCCCCAACACCTTGAATTGTAATGCCCCTTCATGTGATGCTCAAGTTCTGTCCATTTACCTGTAAAGACAACTATTTTGGCATCCAAAGTTAAAATGCAGGTACTTCAGGATTTGCTTTATAAAAATAAAAATGTAGAGGTGAGGATTTCTGGGGAACATGAAGCAGTTTATATGCTTACATCTGTTCACAATGCCACAAAGCCAGAAGCATTAGAAACCTGACCTAGAAATGTTAAGTATGTTGCCAAAATGTTGACTGTTGCCAAAATTCTTTGCCAGAAGAACTAGGCTAGTGTCCTTCTTCCAAGTGACAGTGTTTCCATTAGAGAGGGAACACCAACCCTCCACATAGATTTAAGAACTAAGTCTGTGCACTCCGTTTTCTTGCATGCCAAACCTCTACGGTTGGGGCCAGTAGGTGGCGTGGTGGTTAAGGCACTGAACTCCCACATGGCTAACAGGGCTCAAGTCCCAGACCTAGGGGCAGGAAACTTATGCTGGGTGCGTGTGCACATGTGCCCACCCAAAATCCTGAGAGGAGAATGGAAGAGAAGGGATTGTGGCATGGCCATCCCTCTGGGGGATGATTTCTCACTTTCCTTTTCTCTGTCTCTTTCAGGCAAGTACATATACCCTATTGCAAAAATCTAAAAACAAAACATAACAAAAACCCTCCAAGGTCCTTTCCAGCGGCACGTCTCTAGAATCCAGCTGCTCCACAGGAGACTTGCTCATGTAAGGCACTGCCCAGTACAGCCCTGGTGCAGACTGCTCTGTGAGAAGTGCCCCCGCATCTGACCACAGGGTCACACCGTGCTCACTCACTCCTAATTATCCTGGGAACTTGACCATGCCGATTAAAGCACTGTGAATCCAAAAAGACGTGAAATTTCACAGAAATCTATCAAGGTCAGTCTTCGGACGTGATCAGCTATACACGGGAGAGGGCTGCTATAAGCAGAGCACTTTAATCCTCCTGGCTGCATCTGGGCGGAAACTAGACTTCATCAGGGCCTGCCGTACAGGAGGGCCCCAAACTTACCATGCCACTTGCCCTTGTAGACAGTTCCAAAGGAGCCTGACCCAATCCGAGTGGAAAGCATCACTTCGCTGGCTTCTATTTCCCAGTAGTAGCTGGAATCTCTCTGTCCGCGAGGCCTCTAAAACGAGGAGAGAAGAGCACACTCCGTGGAATGGTAATGGTCTGCTGACAACAGTGGCAGCAAAGAAAGAATCAACCCAACCCTACCCGGTAGCTCCCCCAGCTTTTAAACACAGACATAGTAATTAACCATAATTCCTGCTTGTCTTGAGAAACACCATTTTACGTGTAGCAAACTAGCAAGCTGTGTGGTGCAAGCATGCCAAAATGGCACTGCTTTTTATTGATACAATCTCTTTCACTACGTGTATTGTATCAGAGTCCTCCCCTAGAAGTGAAAAGCCTTCTGATTTGTAAGGAGGTTTTTCTCACAGAACCCTCCCGGCAAGAGGCACTCACAATTTTGTTTTTCTCCTGGGTCCCAGGTCCCGGTGCACGCTCCCTTTGTGCTGGCACGAGGGCTTTGGGCTGTGACCAGCCCGTTGGGCTCAGGTTGTTGGGACTGCTGGACAGGGCTGAAGGTGAGGCTTAATAGAAAGACAAACAGAACCCAGGTGGATGAGCCAACAGAAGGTACAGCAGAGAGAAAAAGCCCATTACTACTTCCTGAACGACTGCAAAAGTACCTGATTCGCTGTGGCTTCGAATTGCATCCTGAAACAGAAAAGAAAGTGCAGTCAACCTGTGCTCCAGACAAGATTTCCCTGGGGAGGGAGGAGACAGCAAGAGGGTTTGCAGAACCAAAGCAGATAAAACCTCTAAAACACAAAAAGTCTAAATACATACTCTGGTCAACTTTCCTTGATTACATTCATCAAATGTTGGTGGCCAGTATTTCTAAAATTGACTTCTAACCAGTTAGGAGACTGAAACTACTGTCTGATATGAAATGGAACCACGCTTCTTCTCAGGAGAGAACAATGCACACAGCAGCATACTCTTTCAAGTTACTATCAGATGAGGTCTTGCCAAAGCCTGAGGATCATGCCCCACTGCCTCAGAATCAGGCAAGGGGAACTGGGTGGCAAGTTGACACGTATTCCACCAGGAGTTGGGGTAAACCGACCACAACCTACAAGTGGTAAGGCCCCATGACTACGAACTTGGAAAGCTGGCAAACTACAAAACCCCTTGCCCCAAAGCTACACATGTAAGAGGTCACACCTGAACAGGTGGAGACGTGCTGGGTCACACAGCCAGTAGGCAGCAGCAACAGGGCAGACGCCGTGAGCATGGATCTCTGCCCTCGGCTTCACCACAGAATGGTGCCCCATACACTATGGGCAAGCTCTGAAACGAGGTACGTTCTCCTCAGTGAGAAGTCAAGGGCTGCCCTTAGCATTATTACACACTGGGAAAGAAGGCAGAACCTAGGGGCCTCCGTGAGATCTAAACCCTAACTGGAATCCTCACTTGGAGCAGAATGTATACTGGAATAACATAAAGCCAGTGGCCCCCACAGCCTTAAACATGCTATTTTTCAGTCCTACTCTGTTTTCTATATAACTAAAAATATAGACAAGATACTTACTACGTAGAGCTATAACTAGAATGCTCCTCCACTCAGTGACGTCTTCACAGGATGAAAAGGATAAGCCAAGCCGCTCACACACACATGCACACGCACACACGCACCCCACGCCTGCTTTAGCAGCCCTGCCCAAACATCTTCAGAGCTCATCATTAAAGCCTAGTTCTGGCTCCCCGACCCAGCTAGTCTCTGGAATCCCTTGAAAAGGTGCTGAGAGCTGCTTGACAGCCCCCGTCCCAACCCCCCGCCACACGCGTGCGCGCGCGCACACACACACACACGTACTAGGACTGACTGGGATTCCTGGCAGGGGAAGGTGGGAGGGAGGCACAGGAACCTGTATGTTTTTAAGCATAGCAGAATGACTACCAGAGGGGCAAAACATGGGCCAAAAATAACCTGGATTTCAAAAGACTACCAAGCAGCTACAGCTTCGTGACCCAGCTGATCTGGTCTTTATTTTCAGCCAAAGCACAGAATAATGTATTTTTATTAACCAGAATTATATTCTCATATACTAAGGATTGTTTTTTCTTAATGTTATATTAATTTTCTTCCCCATAAACACTATATACCTCATATTTTATTCTGTACTATTTCTACAGTTGGATTATTTTCCTAGAAGGAATTTTTCTACTGTCCTGAAATCTAAATATTATTTATAGAAAACTACAAATGGTTTAGATAAAGCAGCAATATCACTTTTCAAATGCTGAGTCGTGTGTGATTAAATCAAAATTTACTCTGCATCTAAGATACAGAAGGATTAAGCACAAAGTTGTGATAATTTATAACAAAAATTTAAGAGATTTCACTTTTTTTTTTTTTTAAGAGAATTTTGCTATAGGGCATGTATGCTTGTCCAGAGAGACAGAGAGAGAGAGCGAGAAATCACCCCCCGGGGGAGGGGATGGCCACGCTGCAATCCCTTTTCCTCCATTCTCTTCTCTGGTTCTTAGGCACACACGCACACGTGCCTGGCCTTGAGTTTTATGTCACCAGGTCTGGGACTTAAGGTCGACTGTGTGGGAGTCCAGCAATGTAACCATTACGCCATCTGCTAGCCCCAAGAATGTTCACTTTTAATGTTCCCTGTTATTCACTTACATAGAAACAAATGATTCAAATATAAGAAATCTTCAAAAGTTCACGGAAAATGCTTATTGTGAAGATATTATGCATGGTTTCAGAATTTTCCTGTTACAAAATTAACTTGTACATAATTCCATTTTTTAAAATAATTATTTATTTTATTTATTCATTCATTTATTTTTTTAATTTTACCAGATAGAGACAGAGGGTGAGAGTGAGAGAGAGAGAGGAAGTGAGAAAGCAAGCCACCAGATTCAGGACTTGAACCCTGGTCAGCCATATGGGAGTGTCCAGCGCCTTAACCACCATGCTAACTGCTGGTCCCCCATAATTCCATTTTAATTTCACGAACTTTTTGAAATCTCCTTGTAGAAGAAAACTGACATATTACTGTTATCAAAACTAATCATAACGATAAAAGAGAAATAACAAACTCATAGCTTATACTGCCCTCTTCGAACAGTGGGAAGACAGTCCGTGAAGGTGATCTGGGATCGGAGGACTAACCTGCCTGAGGTGGCAGGTGTTCCTGAGTTTGTTTTAAGAACCAATTCCTGAGTTCAGGGAGCAGTTATCTCTAACGTGCTTTTTAAAGGGTCTTCAGGGCATATCGATCAACTTGCACATTTAGTCTCTAACATGCAATACTGATGCTGTGAACAATAAGTAAGTCTAACTTCAGTCTTCAGTTAAAATGAATTCTTTATTTTAAAAAAATGTAACGCCCTTGGCCTTAAAAATCTACCTTGGGGTATTTACTTCACCCAGCAGCAATACCAATACAGTACTTTTTGTTTTACTCCCACATACTCTGTTACCAAAAGAGAAAGCATGGAAACAAACATGACAAGAAATAGGGATTTAACTTAGCAACTGTTTCATTGTTGAGTCTACTGTCTGACAGTCTTAGCAGTCCTGTTAGTTACAAGAAAGCAAAGGCAGAAGAGAAATACCTACTCTTCCCCTCAAACAAAATCGTCTGGACCACGCCCTGGGAGAAGCATTCAGGCTGTTATTCTAGTCCAAAGCAATGAGAAATAAAGAAGAATAAAGAACAAAGGAAGTATTTAGAGTGTATTCAGTTGTTATTAAAGGTGAACTAGAATGCAAACCAAACAAACAGAACATACCGAAGAGCCAAGAAAAGAAAAAGCAGTTTGAAAACACTAGCTTTGGGCACTCATGCCTCTCCCTACATACCTGCTGATCAAAATCCCAGGACTCCACCCTTCTATTTCTAAAGGAAATCACTTAAAAGCCTTCTATAGAGTCCGTAGTTCCCCACTGCTACCATTTTCTTTGCCATGCCCAAAAAAATCTCTTTCTCATGCACTAGTTGTCTAAAATCCTACTCATACCTGCCATGAAAAGAATCAGTTCAAATGTTAACATTTCTTCAGGAAATTTTTTTTTTTTTTGGAGAGGTTTTCACTATAGGGCGCGTGCGCTCGCCAGACAGACAGAGGGAGACATAGAGACAGAAAGCGAGAAATCACCCCCCAGAGGGGATGGTCACGCCGCAATCCCTTCTCCATTCTCCTCTCGGGATCTTGGGCACGCACGCACATGCACTGGGCGTGAATTTTAAGTCACCGGGTCTGGGACACAAACCGCGGTCAACTACGTGGGAGTCCAGCGACATAGCCATTACGCTAACTGCTGGTTCCCTCTTCGGGAAGTTTTTACGTTTCCACTTGAAACTTGAATGCTGTATAAACCAGACTTATTCGGCCAGTCTGAAGATGTTACAGTTGTAAGAAAGAAAACGTCCGAGTCCACGGGACCTGAGGAAGTACTACAATACTCCTGAGCTGGTCTAGCCCTGTCCTGCTCCCTGACATAGCCCACCCCCCATCCACTGACTGAGCCACACCACTAACTCCAAGGGCCCTATTACCTCAATCATCCTGCTGTCCACAGGCAGGGTGGTGCTGACCATGTGGACATTAGGTGTGGACGTCGACCTCTGCCTCTGGGACAGGGAGCCCTCGGAGGAGGGGCTGGAGGTGTTGAACGTGAAGGCATGGGGTGTGGAATATCTGTGTTGGGAACTAGGCAAAGAGGAGGAAGAAAACCCATGATGAGCACTTGGACCCACCACTGGTAGTTTTTCAATCACTGACACCAACTTCATTAAATACAGACCAACTCTACTTGAACAACCTTTGACAAAATGTTTCATTCTTTTCATATGCACCATTTAACAGTTCTCTTCTACTTACAGCTGCATTTGCATGGAAATTTTCAAAAAGGAAACTGTGTGCATTTGGAATTCACATAAAAAAGGGAAAAAATACATCATACATTTCCTTTTTAGTAAATTACCTCTATGTAGAATACTACATTTTTAAAGCATCTCTGAGAAAGAATGGATCAACATTTACCAACCACACCATGACCTACTAAACTAGCTGGAAATTGCCCAGTTTACTTTAGAGACGAAATGAAAGAACTTCAAGGAAGATGTTAATCAGATGGCTATAAATACTGTGGGACGTGTCTGCAAAAGGCCAGAATCTGACCCACTGTGTCTCCTCTGCCCCTACGCAAAACAGATTGATGTGAATGAATATGAGGTTAGTTTTTACATTGCAAATGCTAATTGCAAAATTAATCACTGGCCTCTTCCAGCCACCACCCCTCTGATCCACTAAACCCGAAAGAGAACACAAATTAAGGTATGTTAGCATTTTCATTATTTGCTCTGAACATTAGTTTGAACTTTGTTTAGAGTCAAGTTCACCCATGAATAAATTCAAGAGATTAAAAACCTAGTTTTTCTATGGGAAGTTGTTCCTTTTCCACATAATTCTATGGGGATGCCTGCAGAGATCTACTTATTTCTAATCCTCTGAGAAAAGTACAGCTTTCCAAACAGATCTGCTTTTCAGATTATCAAGAAAAATAAAATTCATGCATAAATATATACCCAGATATGTCACACAAATTCCTTCTTCTGAGATATGCGACCTTTAACAACTTCTATGGTAGTTCTTATAAGGGCCATCAAATATGATCTGATTCCAAATTCAGGGTGGTCAGGAAAGTTATGACACATTTTTGCACAGAAAAATATGTCATGTTTTCAAATTCACATGTATACTCAGCAAGACATATGAGCTCAACAAAACTCCATTTTGCTATAATATGGAAACACCAAGCTCCACAGAAGCAGCAAGGGGTTTACACAGAGAGGAGGAAATGCAAAGGAACTCCCGTATTTTGTACTCACCTACCCTATATAACTTTTCAAAACAGAAGCTACGGGTAAGAGCATTACCTGACAGGCAACCGCGAGACAGACTCTCGCATCCGGCGCATTGTCAAGGAAGGTAGTGCGGGGGCCCCACCATCGCCGACGATGGAATTGGGAAATAACCTAAATAAATCAGACAAGATCGGTTTGCAGGCTGCAGCGACAACAGAGAACCAACCATGCCTTGTCTTAGAAACTCAGTTACTCAAACCAGACTTCCTCCAGTTACATTTTTCTTGACCATTTTATGTTTCTTCAGGTAAGAGGATCATGAACCCAAAGGTCTGGGTTTGGAGAATTACAGAACTTAAATAATACTCATCTACCAATGGAATATATGTATACCCTCCAGTGTGTGTTTCTAAGAAATACTGGTTCAGTGTCCAGTTATTATCAAAATAATGTTTTTTAAAGCTACATTGGAACATTTAAAAATCTTTAAGATATAGAGCTTTCCTGGAAACATTCTGACTCAGAAATGCTTAGATGAAAAGATGAAGAATAGTGTTATTTAGCACCAGAAGTCATAAATAAGAGGAAACGTGATATTGCTATTCCTTGGCAGCTCGTTCCGAGGCTGGTACTCGTGCTCAGCAATTCACATGCTGCTCTCTCAGCTAATCCTCCTCACAAGAACACCATGGCTCACTTTTTCCAGCATGAATCAAGTCTCTAAGGTGGCTCCAGCTCATTAATGCTAACACTGAGATTTTGGCGTATGTGTATGAGATTCCAAAGCTATGCCATTTATGCTACTCAGGCTTTCTGCAATATCAACATGTACCACAAAAGCGAAAAAGATATTTCCAGTGTGGTTCAATCATAAGTCTTCTTTGGGTTTTTCTAGTACCCTCCAGAAAAGAAAACTCTGGACTGACTCTATAACCTAGTGGTTAAAAGGGCTGGATCTGACAAGGCAGACTATGGTTCAAATCCTAGGCCTGAAGGCTCGAAAAAGGCACTGGGCCATGGGTGTGCATGCCCAGGATCCTAAAGGATGAGAAATGGAAGAAAAAGGACTGCGATATGACCATACCCTGAAGAGGGGTGCTTTCTCTCCCCTCCTTACCCAGCAAGTGCACACACCTTGCACATGTACACACAGGGAGGGAAAAAAAAATTTTTGTTTAATTAAAAACTTAGATTTTTCATATTCTTGCTAACAGTTTTAAAAAGGCATTTTGGAGGACCAGGACCAGTTCAAGTCCTGGACCCAAGGGCTTAAAATTCATGCTGGGCCTGGGTGCATGCATGCCTAAAATCCTGAGGAGACTGGAGGAGAAGGGATTACAACGTGGCCACCCCTACCCCTGGGTGATTTCTCTCTCTCTGTCCAATTCACGTGCCCTGTAGCAAAAATCTCTGGGGGGGGCGGGGGGAGGCACTGTGGAACACGTACTTTAATTTATATCTTAATTAACATAATTAATAATTTAATTTAAATCAATATAATCAATATTTTGTCTATATAAAATATATCTCAGTAACTGGTTTGTCTCCTGAGAGGAGCAAGAGTATTTTTTTTTTGGAGAGGTCTTTTTTTGCTATAGGGCGCGTGCACTCGCCAGAGAGAAAGAAAGCAAGAAATCACCCCCCAGGGGGATGGCCATGCCGCAATCCCTTCTCCTCCATTCTCCTCTCGGGATCTTGGGCACACACGCACACGTGCCCGGTGTGAGTTTAAGCCACCGGGTCCAGGACGTAAACTTCGGTCAACTATGTGGGACTCCAGTGACACAGCCATTATACTAATTGCTGGTCCCAAGAGTATTTTTTTTAAGAATTATTTTTTATTTAACTTTATTCACTGTCATTATCTTATACTTTATTTGTTAGAAGTTGACCAGCGAGAGGCAGTGAGAGAGAAGGAAAGTGAGAAAGCAAGCTGCTAGGTCCAAGACTCGAACCACAGTCAGCCATGTGGAAGTCCAGTCGCCTTAACCACCATGCCACTTGCTGGCCCCAAGAATCTCTTTTTTTTGGAGAGGTTTTTGCTATAGGGCGTGTGTACTCGCCAGAAAGAGAGAGGCAGAGACAGTTAGAAATCACTCCCCAGGGAAGATGGACATGCCGCAACCCCCTTCTCCTCGGGATCTTGGGCACACACGCACACGCGCCAGCATGAATTCAAGTCACTGGGTCCAGGACTCGAACCGCAGTTGACTACATGAAATCCAGCGACATAGCCATTACACTACTGCTGGTCCTGATCAAGAGTCTTTTAAGATTTTACATTCACAGGCCAACAGGTGGTGTGGTAGTTAAGGTGGTGGATTCTCACATAGCCAACAGCAGTCCAAGTTCTGGACCTGGAGGCTTGAAAATCACACCAGGCGCATGTGTGTGCATGCCCAAAATCCCAGGAAGAGAATGGAAGAGAAGGTATTGTGTGCTATCCCTCTAGGGGGTGATGTCTCACCTTCTCTCTCTGTCTCTCTCTGGTGAGTACATACACCCTATGGAAAAAACCTTTGAAAAGGTTTCATGTTCAAACTATTCTAAGTCCAAATCGCACCGAGTGTGCTATCTGCTCCTCCTCAATGTCAACGGCTGTTTGGCAAACCCGACAAGCAGCAGGGCTGTGTCTACTAGCAATCTAGGAGATGAGGCTGTTAAGAGAGAAAAGTCAAAAACGTTTTGGACTTTCATGTTCCTTTGTCCTTTTCCTTCCTGAATTACAGTATGCCAATCTGTATTTGACACACAGAGGCCCTACCTGCTCATTGTGGAGGGTTATAATGGCCACACCAAAACTAGCTAGTTTCAGAACCATGGTATTTCTTTTGTTTTTGTTTTTGAGAGGTTTTTACTCTAGGGCACGTGCGCTCGCCAGAAAGACAGAGAGAGACAGAGATGGAAAGTGAGAAGTCACCCCCAGGGGGAATGGCCATGCCACAATCCCTTCTCCTCCATTCTCCTCTTGGGATCTTGGGCATGCACGCACATGTGCCCGGTGTGAGTTTAAGCCACCAGGTCTGAGACTCGAACCGCAGTCAACTACATGGGAGTCCAGTGACACAGCCACTGCCAACTGCTGGTCCCTGGAACCATGGTATTTCTAAAGTAGATGGTTTCTTGATGGCAACAAGTCTTTTAACAAGTCTAAAATCCACCTTGTCAGTCAAAATGGACAATAAGAAACCTCAAAAGTATTTATACTCCCCTCCCCTACACTCTGAAAAAAAGAACGATGTCTTACAAGAGCTGTCTGATATTACTCCAGTCCACACACATAGTAGGTACTTTGGTGCTACAATGTTCATGAAATTTGTAGCCGCAAGTCTGACATCGAAATCCATTGAGCAGGAATTTCTGGCAGATGTCACAGAAGGCAAGTTTCAGGAACGTCTTCCGAGCCTACGACAGGAACACACGTGCCACTGATTCTGAGTAAGTGCAAAACGGCTAAAGACAAAGTGATTTCCTCCTTGGCCCCCAAGAGGTTCTACAAAATGAAGGACTATACTCCCAATATCTGTAAAACTCAAAACCAGAAACTGAATTCTCTCTCTCTTACTCCAAACAGTGGCAGAACCTTAAAGATTCCAGTAAGGGGCCTGCGTGGCATGGTGGCTGAGGCCACTGGATTCCACATGGAGAGACTGGGTGACTATGCAGTTCATGTCCCAGACCAAAAGGCTTGAAGAACATGCCTGGCACATGCCAGTGTGTGCCCCAAATCCCCAAATAGAATAGACAAGGGATTGTAGCACGGCCAACCTCCCCCTGGGGGGGGGGTCTCAGTTTCCCTCTTTCTCTCTGTCTGTGCCTATCTCTGATTAGCACACACTCTAAAGCAAATGAACCAAAATAAAGAAAAATAAACAAGAAATACAATATATATGCTTTATTATCTCTGAGAAATTCCTGTTATGCCAGGCAGAGCACCCTCATGCCACAAAGGAAGAAGAGATCTGCAACTTACAAAGTTATGTGTTGTGAGGGGAACGTGATCCAGGAAATCTACTTGAAGTTCTTCTCCAATCAAAGAGGCAGCATCAGTATTCCAATCTAAACGAGCTTTTTTACTAAAGAGTTTTAAAAAAACATAACATGAAAAACAAACGTTAAACAAGAGTTAAATAAGAATTATTTAATTAAGCTGCAGCTATTTAATGCATATTATATAAAGGTAACTTATTTAATTCTACAACAAACCTATTAAATAGTAGTATTATCTGTAACCTTTTTTTTTTCTTTGAGAGAAATTTTTGCTATAGGGTGCATGCACTTACCGGAGAGACAGAGAGAGAAAGTGAGAAATCAACCCCTGGGGGAATGGCCATTCCAAACTCCCTTCTCCTCTCTCTCCTCTCTTCTCCTTTTGGGATTTTGGGCACGCACATATATGTCCCTGGCGTGAATTTAAAGCCACAAAGTCTGGGACTTTGTAAGTCCAGCACTTTAACCACTATGTTCCCTGCTGATCCCATCTCTATTTAAATATGAGAAAACTAGAGATCTAAAAAAGTAACGTGCTCAAGGTCACAGAAAATGAAATCTAAAGCTCTGTGTGTGTGTGTGTGTGTTTGTGTGTGGAGGTTTTTGCTATAGGGTGCATGCGCTCACCAGAAAAATAGAGAGACAGAAAGTGAGAAATCACCCCCCAGGGGGGATGGCCACACCATAATCCCTTCTCCTCCATTCTCCTCTTGGGATCTTGGGCACACATGCACACGTGCCTGGCATGAGTTTAAGCCACAGGGTCCGGGACTTGAACTGCAGTCGGCTACATAGGAGTCCAACGACATAGTCATTATGTAACTGCTGGTCCCCAAAGCTTATGTTTTTAGAATAAAGTTTTCTTTTTACAATATAACTATCTCATAATAAAGTAATTGCATATTAGAACAGTCTGTATAATAATAAAATCCTGTAAGTGGGGCCAGGAGATGGCCTAGCAGTTATGTCACTGGACTCCCACACGGCCAACCGCAGTTCAAGTCCTGGACCAGGAGGTTTGAAAAATCACATGGGAAAATGACATGTGCTTGTGTGCCCAAGATCCAGGGAGGAGAAAAGAGAGGGATTATGGTATGGCCATTCCCCCTTGGGGGTGATTTCTCACTTTCCTCTCTTACTTTCCTTGTCTCTCCCTCTCTCTGATTAGCACACACGCTCTAAGGCAAAAACCTCTACAAAAAAAAAAAGAAACATTCTAAGAACCCTGAGCCAGTTTCTCAGTGTGGTAGTTAAGTGCTATACACAGGAGCCAGAACCCATATAACCAGCCACTGTTGAGTCCCAGCTCCCTTAATTTGAAAAACATGCCAAACTTTTATCCGTGTATACCCAAAATCCTGACAGAGAAGAGAAATGAAGGAAATACAATTACTGTGCAACCACGCCCTACTGTGAGGGTGTTCTTTCTGGCAAGCACACTTACCCTCTACCACTATCCACCCCCAATCGAAAATCTTACCGTGGGCAAGCACGTGGCATGGTGCTTGTTAAGGCAGCTGGATCCCACATTGGCAACTGTGTGTTCTGAAGGGCATACATGCATGTGTGCCCACGATCCCCAAAAGAGGAAAAACGGAGAAGGAACTGCAATGTGGCCATTGCCCACGTACGGTGCCTTTTACACTCTGGTGAGTGTACATATCCTCTGGCAAATTAAAAACAGAGGGGAGGGCACGGCAGGTGGTGTGGTGGCTAAGGCACTGACTGACTGTGGTTTGAGTCCCAGACCTGGTGGCTTGCTTCCTCACTTTCCCTTTCTGTCTCTCTCTGGTTGAATTTTAAAAATAAAAAAAGTAAATAAAAATAATTCTTAAAAAAAAAAAAAGATTCTAAAATCCTATAAGATGGGTTATAAATACTGCCACAGTACCAGCATTTAGTCTTCAAATTTAGTCAATCTATTGGGTCGTCAGAAAAGTCATGATGATGGGACCAGCAGTTAGCGTAATGGCTATGTCGCTGGACTCCCATGTAGCCGACCTCGGTTTGAGTCCCGGACCCTGTGGCTTACTCATGCCGGGCACGTGTGCATGCGTGCCCAAGATCCAGAGAGGAGAATGGAGAAAGGATTGCGGCAGGACCATCCCCCTGAGGGATGATTTCTCGCTTTCTCTCTCTCTTTCTGGCAAGCACATGCACCCTATAGCAAAAAAATCTCTCAAAAAAAAAAAAAAGTCATGATGTATTTTTCCATGTTTTTCTATGCAAAAATGTGTCATGACTTTTCCAACAACCTATCAAGAAATAGATAAGTAGAAAAGAACCACAAATTAAATGCACTTTTCCATAAACAGTCTCAAATCTGAAGGACTGTTTATAGGACTATAATATACACAAATCTATGGAAGACTTAATTGTTAAAATATTACTCTGAGATCACTGTATGCCTAGGGTAAACAAGACAGGAAAATAGATACATTTAAGGAAAAAAATGAATGCTCAGTTCCTTTATCATGTCTAGTCCAACTAATCTGGTCCATTTTTGAAGGAAGAATATTTTCAGGTAAGGAGAAAAGAGCATATAATAGCAACACTCGGGGCCAGCAGGTGGCATGGTGGTTAATTAAGGGTGCTGGACTCCCTACACAGCTGACCAGTCTGAGTCCCAGACCTGGTGGCTTGCTTCCCCACATGCCAGCACATGGGTACCCAGGATCCTGACAGTAAGGAGGAATAGAGAAAAATGCAACTGCAGTGTGACCATACCACACTGGGGGTTGCCTTCTCTCTCCTGTACCTTTTGATAATGAAAAACAAAACAGGTTTCCCATCACCTGCCATAAGCCTGTTCAAGCCACTTTTCTGGTTAACCAACAGTTAGTGACCCATCCTTTAACACAATTCCCAGTACATGATCTGAGAAGTGCCTTAGCACTCCAAAGTCCTGTTTTGCCCTAATGAAGAGGAAAGGGCGCACTAGCTTGTGGCTAATCACTTCAACAACTGCCTCCTGAACTGACAGAACAGACATGAGCACGCTCACCTCCAAGCAGACTCACTCCCTGGGCTATCTCGAAACGAAACATGAAGATGTAAGCTAAAAACCAATTCCCAAAAGGATAAAGTTAAAAGAACCTTCTGAAAGGTTTGCCCATGGGGCGAGCAGGTGGCATAACGGTTAAGGCCCTGGACTCCCACATGGCCAACTGTGGTTCATGTCCTGGACTCAGTGGTTTGAAATTGATGCCAGACACATGTGCGTGCATGCCCAAAATCCCAAGAGGAGAATGGAGGAGAGGGGATTATGCCGTGGCCATCCCTCCTGAGGGCTGATTTCTTGCTTTCTGTCTCTCTGTCTGTCCAGTGAGCACAAGTGCACTACAGCAAGACAAAAAAAAAAAAAAGTTTTGCCCATTTTTTTTGGGGGGGGAGGGGGAATAATGGATAATTGCGGACATCTCTGCTGCTGTAGGCTGTTGGTTCTAGTCTTTGAGGGGATGCCTCCATCTTGCGACCATCATTAGAAACAGAACAAATGACGGGGCTGGCAGGTGGCATGGTGGTTAAGGGCACTGGACTCCCACATGGCTGACTGCAGTTTGAATCCCGGACCTGGTGGCTTGCTTTCTCACTTTCCTTCTCTCTCTCACTCTGTCCCTCTCCGGTCAAATTAGGATAAGTAAGCAAGCAACTAACTAACTAAATAAATAAATAGAATAGAATAAAATAATTCTTAAAAAAGAAGAAGAAATAGAACAAGCCATGTCTTCCCTAAGGCAGAAGTTCTCCTGCATCTTTTTGCCCCATATCTATTAAACAGCAGAAATGCAGCACACATTAAGCTGAATAAACAAGTGAATAAACAAGTGGATCTACTGTATGCATTCTTTAACTGTAAATAATGTAACCAATCTCTGAATACCAATGCATTATCGCAAACGCAATGAAATTTTCAATTCAAGAAACATACCATCTACCATTACTGTCCCACTCTAGGAAACACCAACACCCACCTCACATGTATTTCTTTTTCAAAAGAATGTCCGAGCAGTAATTCCAGGCTCTTAGTACCTTATTTTTCAGAATTACAAGCAAGGATATACAAATACACAGTATCTACAGGATGCTAACACATTTTTAAAAAACGGAAACAGTTATTATTTGAAGCTAGGAGATCTTCACTCATCTGAAAGAGGAGCAGCCTGACTCTGAGTCCTTACCCTTTGTGCTCCTGGAGAAGTCTGAACACCGCACAGCACTCCGGTTGCAGGCCCCTCACCTTGAGAGCTTTCATAAGGCAGTCGTGCAAGCTCATCCCATTGCGCACATTGACCTACAAACAAAAGACCAGCTTTAGGACGGACACGGGCCGCAGCAGCCCTTGCAGAGGTGAGCACAGAAACTAGTGTGCTTGTCGATGAGGGTGTAGGCAGAGACACACAACACCGTCCTTGTAATGGAAAACCCAAAAGGAATGCCACACAACAGGTGAGCACTTGAACAAAGTATGAGACATCTGTGAAAGTCACATCACACAGCTATTCTATTATTTTACTTGTAGTGACCAGGAGGACTGGTGTCTATAATGTAGTAACTGGCGAAAAAATACCAGAATAATATAAAGAGTAAGATTATCTAAAAGGTGGGGAAACCTATATATTATATGCTTATATTATGGTGGATGAGTATCAAAAGATACACACTTACCTGTTTATATCAAAAGAGTATGACCGAGCAATACAAAATAATAAACTTATATCTCTAGTTTGTTAGTTTGTTAAACTAAAATATACATGGCAAGCATCTACCAGAAAGGAAAATAGTGGATCTATGAACAAACAAGAGCTTTTATTATATAGAATGTGTTCTTCAGGGCTAGCTCTGTGCCCTAGTGGTTAAAGCAGCTGGATCCCACATGGCTGATGATGCAGCTCAAGTCCCAGACCCAGCAGCTTGAGAAACATACCAGGTATGTGTGCCTGCGTGGCCTAAAAATCTGGAAAGGAGGAAAAAGAGATCGCAGCGTGAACATTCCCCATGGGGTAATATTTTCTCCACTTCCTCTCTGTCTCTCTTCTACAAGCATATATGCCCTCAAGCCAACAAAAAGAAAAAGAAAAAGAAAAAGAAAACAGAAAAAGGCTCTTTGGGGCTGGCCTCATAACCCAACAGTTGAAGGCTATATAGAGGGAGCTGGATCCTGCATGGCTGACTGCAGTTCAAATCCCAGCCCTGGCAGCTTAAAAAGAACACAGGGTGGGCCAGCAAGTGGTGAGGTGATTAAGGTGCTGAACTCCCACACGGCCAACCATGGTTGAGTCCCAGGCCTGGTGGCTTGCTTTCTCTCTGGTGAGTGCATGTGCCACTCAATCCTGGCTCTTAATTGTGCCATCTCAATTTCAATCCAGCCAATTCTCTGGCTGGTTTAAGACAAAGAAATAAATCCTAAGAAACAAGACAGAGTTATCTGAGCTAGCTTCCTTAGTAGGCTCCAACACAGGGCACAGTATTGGATACAAAACAGAGGTAACAATTTGGGAGGGAAGGGAGTGAAAGTGAGCTTGAGGAATTCGAAAACATCATTGAGGAGCAATGAAAATCTCCCCTGGGCGTTATTTTGCTGACTGATTTATCTGCCCAGTTATTCCTCCATCTGTGAGGCACAAAGATGGGCTGTACATTAACAGAAGTCAGCACACAAAGTCTGATCTGGGGAAGAGAGAAATTTAGGAGATGGTGGCAGTGAGGTAAGAACATTCTCTTGGGAGGAAGGAAAAGGGCTGATCCAAATTGTAAAAGCTCATTTGGAGATGGTGACAGCCTCCTTAGCTACTGGCCTCTCCACTCTTTCGCATACACAGAAGAGAAAGAAGGCTGTAAACCACAGGGTAAGAGGGACACAACTGATTCGTCAAATCGATCAAGACTTCTTTATTACCAGAAGCCTCTGACAACAAAAAAGAAGGGGGCGGGGTAGGGACAGGGATCATCTGATATGCTGATCCTTATGAATACATTATCTATTCAAAAATAAAGTCAACATTCTACAAAAGTTTCTTGTACGTACCAAAATAATTCAGATAAATGTATCTGGAATTCTGTCAAAAAAAAAAAAAAAAAAACTGGAAATAAGTGAGTGAAACCACAAATTAAACAGAACAGTACCACTGGCTAAGCATGGAAACTGGATGGTAGGTCCATGACATCAGATTCACTACCCTAACCACTCTGCTCCTGTGTGTGCTTTGTAACGCTCCATAATAACCCTGAATGCCTCTCGAAGCAGTGAAGCAGTGACATCCTTTGAAAGGTTCCACTACTTCAAGCTTTTCAGAAACCAAATTAAGTAAAGTGATAAACTGACTTTAACTATGAAAATAAGACATCAAGAATGAAAGAAATGAACAGTAATAAACACTCAGGACTAGCAGGTGATGTAATAGTTACATCACTGGACTTCCATGTAGTCGAGCGTGGTTTGAGACCCGGACCTGGTGGGTTTAAACTCATTCCAGGTACGTGTGCATGCATGCCCAAAATCCCAAGAGAATGGAGAAGGGATTGAACACGGCCATCGCCCCTGGGGGGAGATTTCTCACTTTCTGTCTGGCGAGTACACATGTCCTATAGCAAAAATCTCTCTCCCCTAAAAAGATCATGACTTTTCTGACAACCTGATATTACATAACAAGTTAATATTAAAAACAAATATAAAACTCAATATTCAGAACACAAATAAAGAAAAATATGCAAAAGACTTGGATAGATATTT